GGCCGAGGCCGCCGACGAGCCCTGCCTGGCCCTGGTCGTGGATCGGCTTCGGAGTCTTGTGACTTCATTGCCCCAAGACGCCTTCAGAATTCCGCGCGGATTTACTGGGTTGGCGCCTGGACCCCCTGGCGGCGCATCCGGCGCCGCCCATGGTGCGCTCCGCGCGCCCGGGGGGGGGGGATCCAGCGCGGATCCAAGAAATCCGCGCGGACCGTTGAAAGTTTGAATGTATGCCGATTTTCGTTCCTCTGTGAGTTGGCACGGTGAGGTTCAGGTGAGGGGTCCGATACACTTTAGATATCTCCGTCTGCCCAGATCGTATTCCCGTTTGCCACCGTAGTTACCTGACGATCGTAGGTTTTAGGCTCCTGGGTTGTGAGTTTGCGCACTTGTATGGCACAAGCGGTGAAAGCAAAGTTGTCTTGGTTTCGACGGCGCCGCGCCCAGGGGTATAGAATATGTCGCCCATCTTCACGTGGATGACATTTTCATCTTCGTCCTGTGCCTCTCTCTTTCTTTCTCTCGTCATATTATAAAAACCTCTTCTTCCTCCATACCCCTTGCTCTCGTTGCCTGCGTCCTCCTACACCCTCTCCTCATCGGAGGGTAGGTGGTGAGACCGATGTGAAACGGAGAGATCCCCAGGGAAACTGGTTTCAGTTTGTGTCGTGCGTGTGGGCGAGGCGTGTGTGCGTGCGTGTGTGCGTGTGTGTGTGTGTGTGTGCGGGCGAGAGAGGATCACCAGCCGTAGCCAGTGCAAGCTCTACACATATTTCGTATTGTGGCCTTGCCCGAGACGGGTTGTGGCAAGTGGTCAAATATTCAAATCGTTATTTTGGGGCGTTCCTGAATTGGCCTCGCCTTAGGCTCGTCTCGCCCTCGGCGGAAGGCAAGCAAGAGGCGGCGGAAATGAAACGGCGGCGGGTCTGACGGCGGAAGCCAGCGGAATGTCGGCGAAGGGCGGCGGGACCATACGTGAGATGTCAACATGTTTGGATTCAGGGTGTCTGGAGTCAGTCATGTAGATCGTTTGATGGACGCAACCACGTGTATAAACATATGTCTAGGCCTCCTAGATAGGGTCCGAGTAGATGGGGTCGGGGGATGGCGCCGCATCGGCGATGCATTGGCGATGCGGCTCAACGTGGAGGCCGATTCTCTCCATGCCAGCGTCGCCGATATATCGCCGACATCGCCGATGCATCGCCACTGCATCGGCGATGCATCACCGATGCATTGGCGATGCTGTGTGTGATCTTCCGACCCCATCTAATCGGACCCCATCTAGGAAGCCTCCAATACAAGTATACATAGATGTACACATCTAGATATAGGCATGTGTCTGTATGAGAACGTGGAGAGTGATAGTGTCGGATCGATAAATTTCGTGATCCATCTATATAACGATCTCGGTGTCCCCTCGGGAAACCTGGGGGTGGTAACCTCCGCCCTCCCCCCCTCAGTTTCGAACCCGGGGCGAAGGGGGAGCCCCCCCCCCCCTCGGGATCGCGGAGGGGGAGGGTGAAAGCCCCCCCTGGGTCCGAACCCGAGGTTGGGGGGGAAGAGAGGCGACGACGGCGATGACGAGGTTGACGCCGACGACACGACAGCGGCGGCGTCGACAGCGAAGGCAACAACGACGACGAGGACGCGCCGACGACGACGATGCCGACGCGAACACCGACGCCGACGCCGACACAGACGCCGATGCCGACGCCGACGCCGAGCACGACGCCGACGCCGACGCCGCCGACACCGCTGCCGACGACGACGCCGACGCCGACGACGACGATGACGATGCCGAAGACGACGCCGAGAACGATGCCGACGATGCCGACGCCGACACAGACGCCAACGACGACGACGCTGAGCACGTCGCCGAGCACGACGCCGAGCACAACGCCGACGACGCCGACGTTGGCGCCGACGCCGACGCCGACGCCGACGCCGACGCCGACGCCGATGCCGACGACGACGGCGCCGACGCCGACGCAGACGCCGACACCGACGAAGAGCACGACGCTGAGCACGACGCCGAGCGCGACGCCGACGCCGACACCGACGCCGACGACGACGACGACGCCGAGCACGACGCGTAGCACGACGCCGCACGACGCCGACAACGACGCCGGCGCCGGCGCCGACGACGAGGCCGACGCCTTTGCCGACGACGACGACGCCGACGCCGACGCCGACGCCGACGACGAGCACGACGCCGAGCACGACGCCGAGCACGACGCCGACGACGAGGCCGACGCCGACGCCGACGCCGAGCACGACTCCGACGCCGTCGACGCCGCCGCCGACGACGACGACGCCGACGCCGACGACGACGACGACGCCGAGCGCGACGCCGAGAACGATACCGACGACGCCGACGCCGACACAGACGCACACGGGGTCACGACGCTGAGTACGTCGCCGAGCACGACGACGAGCATGACGCCGACAAAGATGCCGACGTTGGCGCCGACGCCCACGCCGACGCCGATGCCGACGACGACGGCGCCGACGCCGACGCTGACGCCGACACCGACTAAGAGCACGACGCCGAGCACGACGCCGAGCACGATGCCGACGCCAACACCGACGCCGACGACGGCGCCGAGCAAGACGTCGAGCACGACGCCGAGCACGACGCCGACGACGACGACGACGTTTGCGCCGACGCCGACGCCGACGCCTTTGCCGACGACGATGACGCCGACGCCGACGCCGACGCCGATGCCAACGAAGAGCACCACGCCGAGTACGACGCAGAGCACGACGCCGACGACGACGCCGACGCCGAGAATCACGCCGAGCACGACGCCGACGCCGACGCCAACGAAGAGCACGACGCCGAGCACGACGCCGAGCGCGACGCGGAGCACGACACCGACGACGTCGACGCCGACAACGAAGCCGATGCTGACGCCGAGCACGACGCCGACGCCGACGCTGACGCCGACACCGACTAAGAGCACGACGCCGAGCACGACGCCGAGCACGATGCCGACGCCAACACCGACGCCGACGACGGCGCCGAGCACGACGTCGAGCACGACGCCGAGCATGACGCCAACGACGACGACGACGTTTGCGCCGACGCCGACGCCGACGCCTTTGCCGACGACGATGACGCTCACGCCGACGCCGACGCCGATGCCAACGAAGAGCACCACGCCGAGTACGACGCAGAGCACGACGCCGACGACGACGACGCCGACGCCGAGAATCACGCCGAGCACGACGCCGACGCCGACGCCGACGCCAACGAAGAGCACGACGCCGAGCACGACGCCGAGCGCGACGCGGAGCACGACACCGACGACGTCGACGCCGACAACGAAGCCGATGCTGACGCCGAGCGCGACGCCGAGGCCGACGAAGAGCACGACGCTGACGCCGACGACGACGACGATGCCGACGCCGCCGCCGACGACGCCGACGCCGACGCCGACGACGACGCCGATCACGAGGCCGACGCCGACACCGAGCACGACGCCGACGACGCCGACGCCGACGCCGACGCCGATGCCGACGCCGACGCCGAGGCCGACGAAGAGCACGACGCTGAGCACGACGCCGAGCACGACGCCGACGACGCCGACGCCGATGCCGACGACGCCGACAACGACGCCGACGCAGACGCCGACGCCGACGCCGACCACGCCAAGCACGACGCCGAGCACGACGCCGAGAACGACGTCGGCGGCGATGCCGACGACGACGATGACGACGCCCGGCGCCGACATCGACACCGACGCGGACACTGACGACGGAGCCGACGCCGACAGTGACGCCGACGCCGACGCCGTCGTCGACGTCGACGACAACGCCGATCGACGCCGACACCGCCGACGACCGGACGTCGCCGAGCACGACGCCGACGCCGACGCTGGCGGCCCTGACGACGACGACGATGACGACGACAACGACGCCGAACACGTCGCCATCGTCGTCCCCCCCCTTGTCGAGCCCGCGTAGGAGGTTCCCCGACCTTCCTCCCCCCCCTGGGTTCCGAACCTGGGAGGAACCCTGCAAGCGACCACAGAAAACGTTGTTTCTGCTATATCCAGCGGTCTTGCTATCAAATATCATTACCTATATCGGTCGCACTTTCTATCTACAGGGGGGACAACCACAGGACAGCAATGGGACAATCGCAGGACAACCACAGAACGACCACCGGACAACCACGGGACAACCATGGCCAACCATTGGACAAGCACAGGACAACCATGGAACAACCACGGGACAGCCGCGGGACGACTGCGGTCAACCACGGGACAACCACAGGACAGCAGCGGGACAACCACGTCACGGGACAACCACAGGACACCCGCGGGACAACCACAGGACAACTAAGGGACAATGGCGGCCCAGCCTCGGGACACCGAGCCAGTTTTCCATCGTTTTCACCATCAGTCTACCGATCTCGCCATCAATACTTCGGCCCATCTTGCGACCTACCGGTCTCAGCGTGTATCTACCGATCTCATTGTCAATATCGATCGTTTTCACTATCTGTTGGCCCCATGATCCATCTACCGATCTCACTGTCAGTCGATGTATCGATATCACCACTGATCTATCGATTCTATTAGGTATCTACAGACGGGGCATCCGCAGACCAAACACGGGACAATCACAGGACAACGGGACAACCACAGGACAACCATTGGACAACCATGGGCAGTCTATGGCACAACGAGGGACAACCACAGGACGACCACGGGACAAGTACGGGACGACCACGGGACAACCAAGGCCAATTAAGGGACAATCACGGGACGACCACGGGGGCAACCACGGGACAGACGCGGGACAACCACGGCACCACCGCACAGCAACCACGGGGGCAACCGCAGGACAACCGCGGGACAACCACGGGACAAGCGCGGGACGACCGCGGGACAACCACGGAACGACCACGGGACAGCCGTAGGACAACCCCGGGGCACGCCACGAGACAGCCACGGGGCAGCCACGGGACACATCATATGGGGACAGCCCAGGCGCGTGCTGCTTTGCCGCGGCTCGACTTCCACTGGATCCAGGCCTGGCTGGGGCAGGAGCGCTTGTCGCCCTTGCGCAGCCTCGCCTTGCCCGCCCTCATCCGATCTTTGTGTACATAAAAAAAGTTGAAAAACTATTTGTGTATAGAGAAAGAAAGAGAGAGAGAGAGAGAGAAGCAGCGAGAGAGAGAGAGAGAGATATTAATACATGTATCTTGTATGTGTATATGTACACATAGGTAGGGGGAGCGAGAGAGAGAGAGAGAGTTCGATGCATATATTCATATTCTTGCAGCACGCCCTACCTGCGTGCGCGCATCTGCATGTGAGAACGGGTCGCCAGAGCAAAAGACGCTGGACCCAGGAGAGGGGGTAGTGCAAGAAAGGGGTTGGAAGGACAAACTTAAACCACCTACGCCCCGAGGGCTGGTGGTGAAGGGTGGTCGAACAATTGATTTTGGGCCGTGCCCCCTCGGACCCCTCGCTGCTTGACCATCGGCAACACCCAGACATACCAATACATTGGAGGCCCATGCCAAGGCACACCTTGCTTGCCTCCAGGGTGCCCTGGCTTCGTGGGTTTCGATGGTATTGTGATGGAACGCGCGACGTCCCCACGCCAAAAAACGATGTCCGCCCTGTGGTCTCAGGGTTGCGTTTCTTGTGGAAGGTTTCTTGTGGTCGACCTCCTACTGCACTATCAGTGCGCCGTGTCCGCTGAGCTCACTCAGACACTGAAACATCGTGTTGCATGAACGCCGTGGCTGCCGTCCTGTGGCCGTGCCGCTCGGGGACTGACGTGCCGTACGCTCTTCGCAGCAGGGCTGGACCTGAACGCTGTTTTGCTGGACTTCGGCTGCGTTGGGCGTTCCGTTCTGGCAGGGAGGCGCAGGGGAGAGCAGGCCGGGCAAGGCGAAACCAACACGAACAAGACAGCGTTTGGGTCCAGCCCCGCTTCGCAGTGCCCGGGCCGGGCGTGTGCCTCCTCCAGGAGGCTCGTGTGGTCTTGCTGGATGTCTCGCTGGCGTTGACCTGCACTGCTCCGTATATCGCTCTCCGCCACACAGGTTCAGTATCGTTTCACCGATCCCCATCCCCACTCCCATCTCCATCCCGATCGCCACCATCCCACCCCCCCAGTTGGGGATGTGCCCCTCGGAGCCCGAAGGGAGCCGCCCATAGCCCCATCGCGGGGGTTCATCGGCCAGTGGGGCCCAGGCCACGCCAGTGGGGATAGGGATCCGTTAAACGATGCCCATCGATTGCACCCCGTGGATCGCACCACCTATCGTCAGCCCGCATAGTAAGGATGGGCAGCCAGGAGTCCCAGGACTTCCTCCCTAGTCCCAGGCTGGGATTGGGGGAGGAGATCCTCGGGTGGATACGCTGACAGCTTGTCGCGGTTTGGCGTGTACTTCTGGTGGCTTTGCTTTTTGAGACTACCGGCGCTTGGAGTGCGTGTGCGTGGGATTGCACGCGCTGCAAACAAAAATACGGATGGGCAACCTCCCCAAGGGTACCCTTGCATCCTTGCCCCCTCCGGCCCATCCTTGGCGACTTTCACCGGCCAGCCTCGTTCGAGAAACGCCAACTTGGCCCTCCGAGGCCATGGCATCCCTGCCGCGCATCCTTATGATACGGGTCGACCGTGGGTTGCACCTCGTTGGTTGCACCACGTCGACTGTCGGGCGAAGAGAACTATGCACATGCACTGATCCTGGCAAGGCCCATCCTTGACCCAGGATCGGTGCATATGCCTTCCTGGCCAAGGTAGGAGGGCGTATGCACCGATCCTGGGCTCAGGATGGGCCTGGCCAGAATCGGTGCATGTGCATAGTTCTCTTCCCTCTAGACTGCAGCGCATAGACTGCAAGAAGTCATTGTTCGGGGCCCACGCTGGCCAGCGTGGTATACTCGCACGTCCTGCCGCTCGATCGGGCCCCAGGCGGTCGGAGCCCCTCGCCTGGAGGGGCCGCCGGGTTTCGCCGACCGCCTGCTGCCGGACTGCTGGCTGGTGACGCGCATGGACGACTACTTCACGGAGCTCGGGGCGCGCGGCCGGGCGGAGCTGGGGCGAGGCTGCACCCGCTCCAGAGCAGTGCGGATCGCTCTCGGAGCGTTCCAGGACGCTCTGGGAGTGCCGCGGCGCCCGAGACATCCTCCCGTCGGGGGAGGAACTGCCACCCAGACCACGACAACTGGCGTTCACCCATGCTCTCGGCGTTTACTAAGCAGCCCGGCCCTGTTCGATTCCTTCCTTGGGTGCGTTTGCTGAGACGCTTCGCTTGTCGGGGTGATATCATCTGGGGGTGGATTTTCTGCCTTCTGTCCAGGGCCGCCGGATCTCAGAGATTCCCGCTCTGTCCTCCCCCGATTCTATCATCGTCCTGGGAGTCGATGAGATGGGGCCGATTTAGCGTCGGTTCGCGTCCATCAGCGTCGATCTAGCGTCGATTCGCGTCGATTTAGCGTCGATTCGCAGGAGCTGACAAGATCGTACGGGAGGTTCCCATAAGTTGCCAACGAACGATTCGTCCTCACTCGATGTTAGCCTCATCCTGGCGTCGTCTGGGGGAGCCTCTGCTGCTGCTGCTGCCGCCGCCGCTCCTTCCAGTGCGTGGTGCTCGCTGCTGCTGCTGGCTCCCCCCCCCCTCCTCCTCCTCCTCCTCCTCGTCCTCCTCCTCCTCCTCCTCCTCCTCCTCCTCGTCCTCCTCCTCCTCGTCCTCCTCCTCCCTCCTCCTCCCTCCTCCTCCTCCTCGTCCTCCTCCTCCTCGTCCTCCTCCTCCTCCTCCTCCTCCTCCTCGTCCTCCTCCTCCTCCTCCCTCGTCCTCGTCCCCTCTCCCTCCTCCTTCCTCCTCCCTCCTCCCTCCTCCCTCCTCCTCCCTCCTCCCTCCTCCCTCCTCCCTCCTCCCGCCTCCTGCTCCTCCTCCCTCCTCCTGCTCCTCCTCTTCGTCCTCCTCCCCCCCTCCTCCTCCTCCCTCCTTCTCTCCTCCTCCCCCTCCTCCTCCCTCCCTCCTCTCTCGTCCTCCCTCTCTTTCCTTCCTCCTCCTCCTCTTCGTCCTCCTCTTCCCGCCTCCTCCTCCTCCTCCTCCTCCTCCTCCTCCTCCTCCTCTTCTGTCGCCCAACTGTACGCCCACGCCGTTGCGCGTTGAGCGTTTAGCAGGCTCTGAGAGCGGGGTTTGTAGGTGATCGTTTTTGAATTCCTTGTTTTGCCGATCGGCGCGGTCCCTGGCCCCCCCTTCTCCATGGAGTAGAGATCTTGGCTGTTCTTGGCGCCTGTTCCGAGCAGGTGGAGTCTTCCCCCTCGGACGCACGGTTGCAAACAGTGGCATCAAGCAGAGGTCTGGAGCCAGACCTCCCCTTCCGCTCAATGTCGAAACGCCGAATGAGAAAACGCTCACTAGTGTCGTGCAGCATGGCTCTTGTGTCGGGGAGACGTGAGGCTCGAGTACGCCGGGACTCGGGCTAGCCGACGTTTTTTTTACGAGCGCGTCCGGGATTGTGACGCTCCAGGTTTCGTGGGGTGTTTGCAGCTGGAGCTCGCGTAAAATTCCAGATTGTGTCTCGTCATTTTCATGATGGCCCAATCAGGCCAACCCGAGTCCCCCCGAACCCGAGTCTTACGTCTCCCCAATCGTGGGCAAGCAAGAAAACCCATGAGATAAGCAAGTGCAGCTCAGAACATAGTGTAGCAGAGTGCCGAAGGGTGAGAAACTTAGCTGCTTCGATACGTCCGTCTTGATACGCAGTACGTACTGTGCTCGAAACGTCCGTGTCAATACGCTGCGTGTTGGCTTAGCGTATTCGCGCACGTTTTGGCGAACGTATCGCGTCAGACCTACGGTTTCAGTCTAGGCGTTGAGCTCCGTATCGATACGCTACGTGTTGCGTGTTGCGTATCGGGGCAGCTAAGGTTAGAAGAGAGACGATCCAGTGCGGATAAAAGAGAGGCTCGCGAGGGAGCTTAGCCAGGATGCCCTGACAGGGTAGGCACACGCAAGGTTACTCCCATTCACATCGCTCCTCTCGCTCTTGCCGGTTCCCCCGCCTTTGCAGGATCCTTGAGCCACAATGGTGCGCATGTTCGTACGCCGCCATCCTCGTCCGCCCTTGTCGGTCTGCTGAGTATGGTGGCGCTGTAGATGCATGTATGAGCAGGGCCTTTTTGGCGGTTCTCCATGCCTCTCTGCGCTGCTTTTTGCTGTCTAATCGTTGGGGCGCGCTCGTTGACTCGGCCGCGCCTTTCATCGCTCGGGGCTCCTCCTTGTGCTCCTCCCCCTCCACCTCTCCCTCTGCCTCCTTGTCCACCGTGCCATGTCACTCCCGCGCTGCTGCTCAATTGTGGGTGAGGCCCTGGCAGCTCCGTTCTCTCAGACCACGAGGTGGGTGGACGGTGGGTGGGGGATCAGGATGATGATGACGATGCTGCTGCTGATGATGATGCTGATGCTGACGCTGATGCTGACGGGGATGATGATGAAGACAAGGAATGATAATATGATGATGCTGCTGATGATGATGATGATGATGAGGATGACGAGGATGACGATGAGGATGAGGATGACGATAACGATACAGATGATGCTGATGCTGTTGATGATGATGATGGTGATGGTGGGCAGATGATGATGACGATACTGATGATGACGATGAGGATGTTGATGCTGATGCGGATGATGGTGATGACGATGATGCTGATGCTGACGATGATGATGTTGATGATAATTGTTATGATGCTGAGGATGCTGCTGTCGATGATGATACTGATGAGGACGATGATTGTGATACTGATGATGCTGATGCGGATTATGATGATGACGATGCTGCTGATGATGATGATCATGACGATGGCGGACATACTGATGATGCTGATGATGCTGATGGTGATGCTGATGATGATGACGACGGTGATAATGATGCTAATGGTGATGCTGATGGTGAATCTTATGACGGCAGTGATGATGATTCTGCTGATGATGATGATGATGATGGTGGTGGCGGTGGTGGTGATGACGATAATGCTGATGCTAATGCTGTTGCTGATGATGATGCTGATCATGATGATGGTGAGGAGGAGGAGGAGAAAGAGGATGGATGAGGATGAGGATGATGATGAGGATGATGATGATGACGATGATGATGACGATGATGATGATGCTGATGACGATGATGATGATGCTGATGATGATGATGCTGATGATGATGCTGCTGCTGATGATGATGAGGATGAGGATGAGGATGAGTATGATGATGAAGATCATGATGAGGATGATGATGAGGATGATGATGATGATGATGATGATGATGATGATGATGATGATGAGGATGAGGATGAGGAGGAGGAGGAGGAGGAGGAGGAGGATGAGGATGAGGAAGAGGAGAAGGAGGAGGACCAGGAGAAGAGAAGGTGTACACAATGGTATAATGGTTCTGGGTGCTTGTTGCTCCTCGTAGAGTCAGTCTGGGACCCGGGATCTCTGGGGCCTGGGGATAGTTCATGGGACGTCCCGGGAAGCCGGGGAAGTGAGGCGAGTGGGTGCATGCTGCCGCGCAAGTTGTGGTCCGAATCCCCACGGCAGGTTCAGGCGCCGCGTCGACACGGCGGCCTGCTCCAGGCCAACGCTGAGCAACCTCTGCTGTCGGCTAGCGGAGATCGCTCAAGGTTGAACCATTCATGCATTATCAGAAAATAACACCCATGTCGACACGACAGGACTCAGCGGTACCCGATTCAAGGTCTGGGGTCCCACTGCTGGGCGTTTCCTTGGGGTGCTGTGGTGGGGGTTCGCCATTGGAGTCCTGTCTCGTGTTCCGAAACGCTTCGCCGGTGGCTTCGGGCAAGCTGGGGAATCCCAGAATCCGGCGCGAGAGTTCCAGGGAGCTAAATCGAATATGATTTCAGGCCGACAACCAGCCGCGCCCACAATACGGTGTCAGGACGGTGACGAACGTTTATGCGGTCTGGTATCATGTTGGAATCTCATATCCCACTGAAGATGTCTAAATGGGCATGCGGCTCCTGCGCTCCCGCGGAGCAATTCGGACCTACCTTACATGATACTCTGTTATCTCAAGCGGGATCGGATGCTACTCCGCCCAAGATATCATGAAACATTGGGCGGGATGCATGTCCGCGAGGAGTAAGTTCTATTCCGCCCACTTCGCCTACTCAGCCAGTCGTCAGTCATCTCGCATGCAGGCCACATAACATTTTCGTCACGGCGATCTAGGGCTCGGGAGGGTTCCTCCATGTTCTCGAAGATTTGGAGGATCGTCCAGACAAGGGGCCTCTTGCGGATCGCATGCTGCGATCCCGCGCCCGTGCCCCCCCGCAGAATTCTGTTTCGGGAGCCTTGGCGCTTTGGCCGCCTCACCTGTTTGTCTGGTTCCGGCAGGCCTCGGGCCAGGCTTGAGCTCGAGTGCGGCTCGGTTCATTCCGTCTGCTTTGCGCGCGATTGGGCGCGCCATTGGACGCCATGGGGAATACCCAAAAGCGTCAGCAAGCTGCTTTCTAAGGGCCTTCTGATGATTTCGGAGGGCGAGTCTCCTGACAACAGTTGTTCCCAACCATCCTGTGGTGCTGGGTCCTCGCTTTGAAGAGACGACGCCCCGCGTTCGCCTCATTCCTCCCCCTCCTCCCTCCCCCTCCCCCCTCCAATCATCGTCGTCATCATCATCGTCATCATCATAGTCACCGCCATCGTGGTCATCATCGTCATCGTCATCATCATCCGTATTTAGGCACACCCCTCAGACGGTTCGTGGCCCCATAGGGAGCTCCACCTAAAGCTCCTGTGGCGGCGTTCCCATGCGTCCTCGCCACCCACTTTGGCACACCCCTCACACGGTTTGTGGCCCCATAGGGAGCTTCACTTACGGCCCAAGTGGCGACGTTCCCATGCGTCCCCGCCACCCATTTTGGCACACCCTTCATACGTTTCGTGACCCCATAGGGACTCCACTTAAGGCTCCAGTGGCGACGTTCCCATGCGTCCCCGGCACCCATTTTGGCACACCCCTCACACCGTTCCTGGCCCTATATGGAGCTCCACTTAAGGCTCCAGTGGCGACGTTCTCACGCGTCCCCGCCACCCGTTTTGGCACACCCATGACACAGTTCGTGATCCGACAGGGAGCTCCACCTAAGGCTCCAGTGGCGACGTTCCCATGCGTCCCCGCCGCCCATTTTGGCACACCCCTCACACCATTCGTGGCCCCACAGGGAGCTCCAGTGGCGACGTTCTCACGCGTCCCCGCCACACATTTTGGCACACCCTTCACACAGTTCGCGGCCCCATAGGGAGCTCCACATAAAGCTCCAGTGGCGACGTTCCCATGCGTCCCCGCCACCCATTTTGGCACACCTATGACACGGTCCGTGGCCCCATAGGGAGCTCCACCTAAGGCTCCAGTGGCGACGTTCCCATGCGTCCCCGGCACCCATTTTGGTACACCCCTCGCACAGTTCGTGGCCCTATATGGAGCTCCACCTAAGGCTCCAGTGGCGACGTTTTCATGCGTCCCCGCCACCCATTTTGGCACACCCATGACACAGGTCGTGGCCCCATAGGGAGCTCCACCTAAGGCTCCAGTGGCGACGTTCCCATGCGTCCCGGCCACCCATTTTGGCACACCCCTCACACCGTTCGTGGCCCCACAGGGAGTTCTACGTCAGGCCCCAGTTGCGACGTTCTCATGCGTCCCCGCCACCCATTTTTGGATCACACTTCACGCGGTTTGTGTCACCATAGGGAGCTCCGCCTAAGGCTCCAGTGGCGACGTTCCAATGCGTCCCCGCCACCCATTTTGGCACACCCCTCACACGGTTCGTTGCCATAAGGGGGCTCCATCTAAGGCTCCAGTGGCGACGTTCTCACGCGTCCCAGCCACCTATTTCGGCACACCCCTCACACGGTTCGTGGCCCCATAGGGAGCTCCACCTAAGGCCCGAGTGGCGACTTTCCCATGCGTCCCCGCCACCCATTTCGGCACGTCCCCCCACACGGTTCGTGGCCCCATAGGGAGCGCCACCGAAAAGATGACATCCACAATTGAGGTACTCACATCTGCCAATGGTTGGGTCCTTCGCCTTCGCCAGGCTAATTTTTGTTGATTGGTGGTTGAGTTCTGAGCTTGTAGTTGATTCCCATGTGTCTCTTGCAGTATGCGACCCCCCACTATCGAATTTGTATCGCCAATTTTTGGGGCGATCATGGGCAGAGGCGATTCTCAGGGGCCAAGAACAACCACTCGGGGCCTTGAGCCTTACATTTGCCAGACCCCTCCTTTTCCATTGACGCTCCAGCCCACAAGCCATCCTGTGGAGGCAGAGTCAGCCAGGTTTCGCTCACTCACGCCAGGCTTCTGCCCCGCCCCTGGGCTCACCACCCGGTACTTGGCCTCTGTGAGCTCAACGTCATCTGAAGGGCTTCGCACTCTGGTGCCATCGCCCTCCTTTGATGGATACAGCCCGCCGTGGCACCCGGGCGTCGGTTCCCGGACGGTGGCTCGTAGCTGTTCGTGCACCTCTGGGCGGGAGGTCCAGCCGAGGAAGGTCCACAGGAGGCCCAGATGGGGCCTCGCCCCGCGGGTGGATTCTGGGCGTGCGCGCGCCGCCGCTCTCCTGGGCCCGCTGGGCTGGGGGGCTTCGGCAGAGCGGCGCCCAGCGCAACTCTGGAGAGGCCAGTCCTCGCCTGCTTGGGGTGCTGCCAGGCTTAAGTGGGGCATGTCCCTCTACAGGAAGAATATTCAAACATAGTCAAACATATAGTATGGGTGCGAATTCCGGTTGTTTCGGGACTATTGTTGAATATTGTTGGACTATGATGACTTATTTTTCGTCCAAAATCCGCCTCTAGGGGGACATGCCCGACCTCATGCCAGGCGTGCGCGCGTCGCGGCGGTTCTGGCGCGCGGGCGGGTGTCTGGAGCAGGTCCAGGCTCATCAAGAATACAAGAGCCCCGAGCCCTAATAGCACAGTGAGGGCGTGGCCTCACTCAGGTTCCCATCTTTTGGCGCTCGGGATAACAGCTCTGGGCGGTTTGGTTCGGTGCCTCTGCAGAAAAAAGCCCTTCCATCCCTAATGCTTTTGGCCCTCCTAGCTTAGGCCCTCTCCCAAAGAGTTAGGGGGCATTTTTTGTGCTAGTCACAGGCGGGGCCCTCGCCTGGTACTGCCGAGCGCACGGCCGCTGCCACTCTCGGGGGACCTGGAGGTTCGGCGGAGTGACGTCCTGCGCACGTGCGCCCGGGCGTGCTGCCAGGCGTCTTCTGTGGTAGTATAAGGGGGGCACCTCCCTGGACAATTCGGCCGAGACGCGACGATTCGCGTGAGTCTTAACCATCACATCGTGAAGAAGTCCCACGTGAAGTAGCGAAGCAAGTCACCCACATTCGCCTCCGGGCTCTACTCCCTCGGAGAGATGTGTATACTAATATGATGCGTGTTAGCTCCCCAGAGTACCACAGCTAGGACAGCATGCTGGTGGAGCGCGGACATATGATGTTAACCCACAGCTCTTGGGTCGGCGGGGTCGTGCGTTCAACAGAAGTTGCAGCCTTACTGAAATCAGGTACGTCCGACTTGTCTTTCCGAATTGTGTCTTTCACAGCCTTGCACGCTGACCAGTATGCACGAATCGCAGGTGCGCCTAATGGTGTTGTAGCCAAGTTGCAGGGCTCATTCTGCCGCCTATGTTTTGTGCTCATGCTTCGCTCGTGCTGATGTCGGGTTGCCCATGCTTCTTGGGGTCGAAGCATCATTGTTGTGGCATTCCGGGATGTTGCTGTCCCTGCTTGGTGTAATCTGTGGTAGGCATGCAATTTTGATGTGCCCCCCCCTTCAAACCCGCCAGCGCTCGCCTCCCGGAGGAAGTGCAGCTGTCGCTCTTCCTGGTGTGCGACCACAGCTCGCGCTTTGCCGCGCGCGTGCGGACGCAGGGGAAGTGCGGAGGCGGGCGCGACTCGCCCGCTCTCACTTAAGTGGCCGTGGAGCCCGAGCCC